AAAATCCTTTCTGTATATATCGCAACAAGAGAAAACAGGTACACTAAGCCAGATACTGGAGGGAAAGAAGTGCAGAAGCAAAGTAAATGTGTGTGGGTGTTACAACAGAAGTAGACGTCTCTGAGATCTGGTGGAAAGAGACAATGGATGCAGGCCAGAGGCTGGCTAGCAAGAGCAGAACACTGAAGCTGCTCTGGTGAGGTGGCTTCACCTTCCCAGTCGATTTAAGCAACTCTTCACCCGGTATTTCCTTTCACTCAGTGACACTGGTTCTTTGCTGGTTAGTAATTCATGTTGAAAAGCTTGACTCAATAGGTACTAGACACACAGATAAATCTACAGGGTAGTCAGAAATAAGCTACCAACGTTTCCAATATGGTATTTGGGAGAAACTGTATTTAGGATCAACCTGTGCTTGGAGACACTTCAAACTGTTCAGAGAAGACTGTGGCTCTGGGTAAGGTCCATCCTCTCAGCCTTTCCTTTGGTACACCACTTTCCAATTCAGTGATGTCTGGCTAGAGACTGATGAATGTGGAAGACTTTATGTCTGATCTTTCAGAATGACAGAGGAGGACCTGGTTAGACAGCACACAGCAGAGAAACTGGTTCTGTGAAATCTCACTCCTTGTTGTTCTTCCCCATCCTTTCCTATTGCTTCATCCCCCAGTTAAGTACAGTTCTCCGTGTTCTAAGACCCTTCACTGCTGCTCTATGTGATTTAACTCCCCCAAGAAAAGGCCAAAAGACTGCCTTTGTTTCTTTGTTCTGGCTTTCCTTTTCTTTGTATTTTTATGCCCAGGCTTGCCACAAACTATCTTTCTGCCTCTGCCTCGTGGTGTTAGGATTACAGACATGTACCACCTCACGGAGCTCCAAACTCTTTAATAAGAATTCGTTTCACATGCCTTCTGTTCTTAACACCCACGCTCAGAACATCCAACAAAGCTGCTTAGTGTCACATAAGCATCCAAGTTGTATAAGCTTGATTTCCTGGCTCGTAACAAGGACAGTCCTTTCTTAGGCAGGAAAACAACCCCTTATGTTATATCCAAGGTCATGAACAAAAATGGCAGGTCAATTACAAACAATGTATATGTGTACACACATCTATTCATCCACTAAAAGTGAAGAGGACATTTTTCTAACTTTGACATAAAAACAATATTGCATCTCTCTTAGGAGTGTTTCATTCCTATAGAGTGATATAGAGTCAGCTTCATTTTAAAAAGTGAGTGGTTAAAACTTAACTGAGAAATGTACAGGGCTTATTTAATTCATCGGCATCTTAGTAATGTACATGAAATCAACAATTTGCTTCTGTCTGTGTTCTGGCATGACCACACTACTACTTTCTAGTTTTCTTCCATTTCCTAGTAAGTATTTTACATATGAAAATAAATTGCTAACTCAGAGGTTGCTATGAAAAACAGAAATTCTTTGACTTGAAAAAAAATGAGAGGAACAGATATTTGTATTATGCAGCATTTATACCCTGGTATATTTATGCAAAAGAGTTAAAACCAAAGAATCTGCTTGCTTCTTAAAATGCAAACATTACCTCAGTCATACAAATAGCCTCAAACTCGCCCAGTCTCTGCCTCTGCAGATCACCCACCAGCATTAGATTACATCATATGACATTATGGAACAATAGTGAACTCTGTATTAGTTGAATATATTGTTTTGAAAGAATAAGCTGTCATTAACTTGAATAAAGGCTCTCTGAAATCAAAACCGGGGGGTATAGCCTTTACTGGGTGGCCTTTGTTTTTCTACTTTAATAAACTGCCTCACCCTGAAAGCAAGGTGAAAAAGGACATGGCAGTAAAAAGGCAACTGTCATGAGTCTCCTGCAACTCCTGCCCATCAGGCAGGGCCTCAGCTTTCAGTTACCAGGCAGAACAATGTCAAGGCAGGAGGCTCCACTACAAATTGGACACCTAAAATCCAAACAAGCTTGCACACACATACCCTCTCCCTGGGATAGCCATGATTTATAGAACAGGCCCTGCTCAGGGAACAAGTCTTACTCTATGGCTGGCATGTCCCATTGCCATCTGAAGATGGGCGATTGCTACAGCCAGTGACTTTAGGCCAGGAATTTAAGGTGGATCCCAATGTTTTAATCTATACAGTAAAAAACAAAATGGCTATCATGGGGAAGTACTGAGGGGACTTGGACACTATTGTTATCAACTATATTCATTAGTTTACTTAATTTTCCTGTCCACCTGTCTTTTCTAAACACTATCCAAAGAATTTCTTGTTCACAAATGATACACAAGCGTCTGTAAATACTCGCTGCCTGTGGTTTGTGCCTGTGGTCTGAACACAGCTTACCATTTCTAATCAAGAGAGTGCTCTATTTTGCTTAGCCAAACCCAGATGAGCACCCAGAGTCACCTGCCCCTCACCAGCTTTCCTTTCCTCTCTGCTATAACCTATTCTCAAAGTAGTTAGATGGTGATTACAGCCTAGTTACCAAGGTAACCAAGTCCAGGTGCATCACCTTGCAACACACTCACTTGTTTCATACATCACTCATGTTCAAGATGGATGACCTATGCTGACCTTAAGTTCACGTTAGCATCTCTTAACACCAAGCTCTCTCCTAGGTGCTTTCCTACTAGTCAGTTTATTCTCGTGTTAATTACTGCAAATGATTCAACACTGACCCCAGAACATTACTAAGTATATCTCAAATTCAGGTTTGCTTTTTGTATTTTTCCTTGAGTGAAAAGGACAAGAATTAGTCACAGAAGACTCATGAAGGATGAGAAGACTTTGGGGAGTGAGAGGATGAAGAAGGCACATGAAAACTGACTGAACTGTACTTTATACAGGTCCAGGAAGGGTGAAACGCAGAAGATCAATATCCAGCTGTTAAGTTTCTGAAGACTGGGCAAGGAAGTATATGTTAGGGTAGAAATTTCATTAATGCTGGCTTCTTTGGAGAATATTATTCCACAAAATAAGGGGAAATGAGAAGATGGGCAAGAAACAGAATATAGTATGGTCTTTCATCATGCAGAGGACTTATCAAAGCCTAATCTGGTAGCCAGTATAGAGGAGAGTGAAATCGTGGATGGCCTCTTCTATAAAGTAGATGAGTTACTGCAAAGAATACGATGACCCACAGATCACCTGGACCATGCTATCTGTTTTTGTTAGGCACAGCACAGGATGGTGTAACTAGGTAGGATGTGACTTTGGTGAAGAAGTTTCAAGTGCAATCTCTATCTGCCAGATGTCTGATCTTGCAGACATCACTTAAACAAATTCAATGATGCAAGAATTACAAGAACGGTATGTGTATATATGTAAGGCCATGGTACATTTTAATATAAATAACTATATAAGATATTTTTGTAGAGTCTACTACACCAGCTTGCTCTTGTCTAGGTATTTGTCACCTCTAGGGTTCGTATTGAAATTTTACTCCCCCCAAGGCACAGACTAACGGTATTTACAGGCAGGGCCTTTGGAAGGTAATCAGGATGAGATGTGATCATAAAGGTGGAGCCCTAAGATTGCATGATGGCTTTGAGGAGAAAGAGAGATCAAGACAGCAGTTTTCATTGCTTTGTGATGTCCTTCTTCATGTCATGACCCAGCAGAGAGGCTGTCACCAAATGCTACAAAGATGTCAGTATCAAGGTCTTCAACATCAAGAAGTGTAAGGTAACTTAACCTCTTTTCTTTATAAATTTCTCAGTCTGTGGTATTGTTATCAAAAGAAAAAGAAAAATGAAGAAAGATGCAAGTCAAGTAAACCATAGCCTTTATTTATGCTCATTATAGCTAGATTTTGTTTTGGGTATTTTGGGGGGAGGGAGAGGCAGGGACTCAGGAATTTCTACAGCAGAAGCACCATTCAGTTGACAGAAAACCATCTCCAGGAGTGGAAAGGTAGCTCAGTTATTAAAGTGCTTACCATGCAAGCATGAGACCCTAAGTTCCATCCCCAGAAACCACATCAAAAACTGCAAGTGGTAGCACACACTTGTAATTCCAACCCTGGGTATTTGGAGACTAGTCAGATATATGAGACCAGTTGGTCTAGTCTAAGTAGCAAGTCCCAGGTCCAAATGAGAGAGCAATTTTCAAAATACAAGATGGACGGTTCCTGAGAGCAAATACTGGAGGTTGACCTGTGGCCTCCAAATATGCACCCACACAGCATTCATGCACACACACACACACCCACACACACACAAAAGGTAAAGAAACTAAACTCCACTTAGTGTAGCTATGAAAACAACAAGGTTATGGTCTTCATATAAAGTACCTAGAAATATGCTAATCGGGTAGGTAACCATTCCTCTCATAAGCATACTTTTCTCTTATGCAAGAAAGTAGGCAGAATGAATTACCAGTACATTAGTGGTGACAGAATCTTTCTATGAGTCTGAGCTAGTCAACCTATACCACATCCAGATCGCAAAAAAATAATAAAAATCTTTTCACGGAAATGTTGCAGGGAAGGGCCACCTCCAGTAACATCAACTCATTCTTCCATTTACTCAGTCCTTATCTTAGGTCAGGTTCTATCTCAAGTGCTGGGCTTCAGTAGTAGAAACGAACAGAAAACTCTGTTACCATGTAGATGACATTCTAACGGAAAAATACAGATAGTAAATCAACTGGACTGGCAAGATGGCTCAGATAGCTAAAGGCACTTGCTGCCGAGCCCGATAACCTGAGTTGATCCTCAGTACACACACACACACACACACACACACTAAACAGATAAATGTAAAAATATTCCTAATTGACCATAGCTCGATGGTGATTAAGTGCTACAGGAAAATAAATAAATAAATAAATAAACAAACAAACAAACAAACAGGCAGAGAAAGAGACTCCAATTTCAGTCAGGGCATTCAAGGAAGACTTTTCAGAGAATACGCCAATTAAGGAAAGACCCAAGAGACAAAAGAGTGGTGGGGTCATAAGTAAACCTCCCCAACAAGCCCAGATACTGCAAATGCTCTTACCTTTCAAAAGGGGCTGGAAGGTTGGAATCTCTTGCAGCTTGATGACATCAGGGTCATTGCTGACATTCCTTGAGGCCTGGGAGCCCTGAGCTACCACCACAATATCATCCATCTTGGCCCGATGTTTAGCTGGAGACGGAGTCACTGCAGATAAAGTTATACAGATCAGTAACCACGTGCTGAAGAGTCACCACTGCTCACCAACAGTCATTAGAAAGAGTAGTTCGCAGTAAGGGAGAGATTTTCTCATCTTAATGGTTTCTCTTCAAAGCCATCCTTATTTGAAATGACAAACTACCTCTTTGTCTTTGAAATGCTATACGGGGTTAAAGTTTGTTTTGTTTTTACTAAAAGGAAATACTGGTGTGCTGGCACCATGCCTTTAATCTCAGCATTCCATAGGCAGAGACAGGCAGATCTCTGTGAGTTCACGGCCAGCCTGGTCTACAGAGTGAATTCCTGGAGAGTTGAGGGGGAAAAACACCAATAAAAAAAAAAAAAAGACAAAACAAACAAACAAAAGACTATTCATGTCTGGGATGTACTCAGCTGGACAGGTAGCCCACATCCGCGATTCTGGTACTTAGGAGGGAGATACAGGTAAACCAAGCTTCAGTAACAAGGGTTGGAGATATGGCTCACCACTTAAGGGCACTGGCTGCTCTTCCAGAAGACCCTGGTTCAATTTCTAGCCGCTACATGTTGGTTCAAAACCATTTGTAATTCCAGTTCTAGTCGATCCAGTGCCCTTTTATGGCCTTCTCAAGCACAGGACATGACATAGAGACAAAACACCTAGACACATAATAATTTTTTGTTAAAAAAAAAATTCAGTGACAGCCTTGGGAATATAGATCCATCTAGACTACATAAATCACTGTCTGAAAGGAGGAAAATAATATTTTTATATAACCAAATGTAGTTATTTCCTAACAGGGGCTGGCACAGGTAGATTATGGCGAAATTCTAATTTTTTCTCCTCTCTGTGGTACTGAGGATTGTACCCTGAGCCTCTCACATACTAGGCAGGTGTCCTACTACTGAGATATATAGACACAGATGGAGACTGCAAAACCCTCATACATACAGAAACATGACTTCTTTTATAACCTCACATTTTATTGCTCAACACAAAAAAGCATAAGCAAACTGTTTTTAATGTCTCCTTCTTTGATTGTTCTGAATGTCGTTTACAGATTTGCCCAGGGTCAGCAGCCCTGGAAACAGATTTAGGAAAGGTACTGAGGGCCTCTTGGTACAAAGATTCTTCTTGGTGACACAGAATGCAGAGGTGTCTCTCTAGCCTATCGGAGCCAGCCAGGTGTGGTGAACAGACCCAGTAGTGGCCAAAACCTCTGGTTCCAACCCCAAATTATCATCTATCCGTAAGGCTCCAGGGAGCTTTGGTGCAGCACTAGTGCACAGAGGGCAGAAACCATCCACAGGACCATTTCAGGCAGAGGCAACATTGAGAAAATGGGAATATTGCTTCTGGGGCATGTCAACTTAAACCTACAAGGAGTCTCCAGAACAAGATATCCTCTTACCCAAATAATTTCCTGGCCGGAACTAGAATGAATCCCTAAAATGTCTTAAACTCGGAAGTTCTAGTAGATAGTAAGTACACTCAGGCCCGTCAGTCTGATCTGAGGGTAGATATTGCAGAACTACTGTCTTCTAAAAGCTAGCCTCTCCTGAAGCCTGACCTTGCTGGGGGGAGGGGGCGAGGGGGAATGGGAGTGGGGGGCAGATGACAACAACATGGACTGCTGCTGCTTTTATTGCTTTTTCAGGAAAAGTTTATCCTGGCTTTGTAATTTACCTAACACTTTACAAAAGCAGTACCAGTCTTTTCTGCTACAAATTACAGGATTCCTCCTCTCCCCAGACTCAAAGAAAAAGGGACGTCAAAGCATTTAGGTATTATTTATTCATAAAGATGTGGGCAAAAATGAGTATACTATAAAAATTACCCTGGCACAGGAGGGTCTGTCAATTCTATCAGAAACAAGCCTCTGCTGTCAACTCCCAGATGAGCAACTGTATGATAGAATGCCACACTACTTCCCCAAAAGTATGCTTCTGGCCTGACATAGAAAAGTAAGAGATGAGCCATTTTTGCGGGTTTGTTATAAAACAGACATGACACTCTAGGCCTTCCAAGGAATCAAAACACAACAAAGCTAGTAGATGCAAGCGCCTGACTGCAGGTCTTGAGGAACTGTCTTGAGGAACGCCCTTCAGCATGAATCATCGCTATATCTGTTAACTTCCACATTTCTGGGTAGCAAAGGTTACCAAGTAGAGGGCCATTCTGAGACTCTTCTGCAGTCAGAGATTTTAACTAATTAGGCTTGCAACCCTTGAGCCTAGCTAAGGCACTCTCAGAGGTTACCTGAGTAACAACAAAAGGAACAAATGGTTTTCAATTGCCAGCTGTTTTATTGAGCACACTCTACAGGTCCGGTACAATACCCTTCAAATTCCTACTCGAAACGCTTAAAAAGTCTAAAAACTGTGAACAGAAGATACACTAAGACTGCCTGCCACCTGGCCAACTTATTAAAAGGAAAAAAAAAAAAAAAGAACCTGATACCTGAGTGGAAAGAGCAGTTTCTGGACATATTTGCACCCAAACATTAGAGTGACCGCCCAGTGCTCACAGATCCCTTCTGAAAAGGTACCTCGACACCCCGATTTTCAGAAAACCTGATCATAGAGGTCCGGGGTATGATCAATCCAGTGTGAGCCAAATCTCAGGCATCATTGGCGATTCCTGGAACCGAACATTAAGGAGGTCGTCTTTTAAGAATTAGTGAAGCTGAGCGAGCCGGTTTAGGGGACCAGGGCTAGGGCGGGAGGCCACGCTTTTTCTGTGTTAGGGCACACTGAGGCCCTCGTCGGCTCCGCCAGCAACACCCGTGCGGGAGGTGAGGCACCGACCTGAGGCGTTCAGATCGCCGGGGCGGCTCTCGGCCTCCGCGCTCTGCTCGCTGCCCATGGCGCCAGCAGCGGAGGGACAGTGGAGCAGGGGCCTGGGAGAGCGGGGAGACCCCGCTGGGCCACAGACACGCGGGGAGGCGCGGCGTGAAGACACGCCACTCGCCTTCCTGAGGGGCGCGTTGACAGGAGGCTCGGGACACCGGCGGGGCTGCGGCCGCGACCGGCGGGCGGCGCTGCTGTCATTCACTGGCTCAGTTGCTTCAGCTCGCTCCTTCCGGGACGCCGATTGGCCGTGCCGGCTACGCGTGCCGTCAGTTCCGGGTTCGAAGGTCCCGCCTCCAAACCCGAGAAAGAGGCGGGGCGGGGCGGGGCGGGGCGGGAGATGCGCGCTGAAGGCTGGGGCGGCGCTCTCTTAAAGGGCCAGGCTTCCCAAAGGCCAAAAATGTCCAGGGAACATCTTTGTCCTTTTCCTACCTTGATGACACATCACCTTTGAGCAACAACACATGTTAAGAACTGTAATGCTGGTTATCTTCAAACAACTTTACAAAATGAGCTGGGTTTTTGTTTTTGAGACAGAAGTTCACACTGTAGCCCTGGTGACCTCGAACTCTCAATCCTCCTGACTCAACCTACCCGAGTGCCGGGTTACAGGGGTAAACCACCATGTTAGGCAAAATCGGTATTTTTACCCCAGTTTTACCAATGAGGAAAAAAGGTGGTCTGTAGACCTCAAATTTCAGTTCACGCTAGTACAGAAGCAAAGCTCTTTTCTAAACTTGGAAAGCAAGGAGTTTTGCAGTGAGAGGTCATACAGGAAATGCCAAGACTCTTAAAAAAAGATTTATAAATAAAAAAAAAGTTAGAATATGATGCTTTATTGACAGATCACTATGGACCTACGAGAAGCCAGGAAGATATACAGCTAATACAAAAAGAAAACTGCTTGTCTGAGCAGATCACAGATGGGTGGGTAGTGACCCAGTGCTTTACAGGGGTTCTCTCATCCGCCTCAAGAAATTACAAGCAGCTAGGCTTTATGATGTATGCCTGTGTAGCTAAAATTCCTTCCCTAGGGGAGCTATAAATACATCTACACCCTCCTACAGTCTCAACTACCACCGAAGTTCAGCCTGAAGGAACCAATGAGTTTATTAGGCTTATTTACAGAGCCAGGAGTGAGGTGGGACTATGGGTGGCTGTAAAGCGGCCACACTGGAAGTTCAGCACCCAGCATACAGGATCAGTTCCATTGTCTGTGTCAGGGTTTGTATTCGCACACAACAACATCATGACCAAGAAAGAAGATGGGGAAGAAAGGGTTTGTTCAGCTTACACTTCCACATTGCTGTCCATCACCAAAGGAAGTCAGGACAAGAACTCACACAGGGCAGGAACTTGGAGGCAGGAGCCGCTGCAAAGACCATAGAGGAGTACTGCTTACTGGATTGCTTCTCCTGGCTTGCTCAGCCTGCTTTCTTATAGAATTCAGGACTACCAGCCCAGGGATGGCACCACTCACAATGGGCTGGGCCCTCCCATCTTTGATCACTAATTGAGAAAATGTCTTACAGCTGGGTCTCATGGAGGCATTTCTTCAAGGGAGGCTTCTTTCTCTGTGATAACTCCAACTTGTGTCGAGTTGACACACAAAACTAGCCAGTACACCCATTTAGCTGTGTGCATAGAGTCCCAGTCCTTCATGTCCCACCTATATACCCCAGCTCCACCCAGAGACAGTCATCCACCCCCAAAGCCACCTTCAAGCAGAATTGCATACAACTGGTTGGGAAGAGTGGCTGGATACTCAGGTGGGAATTCCATATCTCCCTCCACACACCTTACCCCTCTTTCCTTCCTGATGATGTCAGAAAGCCCTGCTGTGGCGATCTTTGGCTAGCAAGCCCAGATGAAATCCTGAAAATGGCAGTAGTTTGGCTCATAGTCCTGTACAACAGCCTGTACTCCAGTGCTCAGAGACTGTGGTGGTGGAGACAAGAGGATCAAGGGTTCAAAGTCATCCTTGAGTGATTAGAGAGTTCAAGGCCAGTCTGGTCTACATGAGACATTATCTTAAGAGACATAAACAAGAAAAGGTCCTAAGATGTTCTGTATAAATACAATACCAGCAGGGCCAGATTGACCTAGGATTTTGAACTTTCCTCTGCTGTGACACAAATATGCTCCACATTTCACCTCATTTAAATTTCACAGCTCTGAGGCCAATAAATATGTAACTTTCAAAGTTAGGAAGTGGTGCAAAGTGAAATATTATTTGGACTGTGGTTTCGAAACTGGCTTTTGCTTCAATTCCCTTTAACAACCCAATGAGAAGAATACAAATAGATTTTTTGTTTGTTCATTTATTTATTCATTCATTCATTTTATACATGAGTACAGTGTAGCTGTCTTCAGACACACCAGAAGAGGACATCACATCCCATTACAGATGGTTGTGAGCCACCATGTGGTTGCTGGGAGTTGAACTCAGGACCTCCGGAAGAGCAGTCAGTGCTCTTAACCACTGACCCACCTCTCCAGCCCTGCAAATAGATTTTTAAGTTCATTACTTTGTAGGAATATAAAGATAGACATAAAATCTCCCCAGAGATCACCATAGGCTCCTAGAACGTGAGAGATTGTTTTGTTTGGGGTTTGGTGAGCAGTGTTGTTTTTGAGACAGAATCTCTATATAGTCCTGGCTAATCTAGTGTTTGATACACAAACCCAGGTCAGACAATCCTCCTGCCTCAGCCTCCCAAATGCTGGGGTGACAGGTATGCCCTATCATGGCCAGCTCTAGAATGGTGAGGAAAGGTGAGGGGTTTGTTTTGTTGTTGTTGTTGTTGTTGCTGTTGTTGTTGTTGTTTTGCTTTGTTTTGAGACAGGGTTTCTCTGTGTAATAGCCTTGGCTGTCCTGGAACTCCCTTTGTAGACCAGGCTGACATGGAACTCAGAGATCTGCCTGCTTCTGCCTCCAAGCGCTAGGATTAAAGGTGTAAGACATCATGTCTGGTGGAAAGGTGAGGTTTAAGTTCAAGTATTTTTTTTAACTCTAGATTTCACGTTATTTGGAGCAGGAGGCAAGGGTGAGCGGTTTGGAGTACCAGTAAAGACCAGAAAAGAGCATCGGAGCCCTGGGAACTAGAGTTACAGCCAGTGTCAGCTACCTGATGCGGGTTGTGGGAACCGGATTCAGGTTCTCTACAAGACCAATACTCAATTATAACTGCCGACCCATCTCTCCAGCCTTTGAAGTATACACTCTAAATGAATGGCTTTAATTTAATACGAAATTTAGTATGCCGTCACCTGTTGACTCAAAGTTTACTGGGGGCCTGTCAGATACTGGGTACATGTTAGAGGTAAGAAAAGATTCAACAAGATGTAGCTCTCATCTTTAAGAAAATGGAATGAGGGACCTGGAGAGATGGCTCAGTGGTTAAGAGCACTGACTGCTCTTCCAGAGGTCCTGAGTTCAATTCCCAGCAACCACTTAGTGGCTGGCAACCATCTGTAATGGGATCTGGTGCCCTCTTCTGGTGTGTCTGAAGATAGCAATAGTGTACTTCTGTAAATAAAATAAATAAGTTAAAAAAATAAAATGAAATGAGTGTTTATAAGTTTTCTCCATTTGTGATTGATGCTTTTTGGAACGACTTATGCGTGAGTAGCAATCTGTGTGACATGTATGAACAGCCTTTGAACGTTTATATTACGTTCATATATATGAGCCTCTTATCACATCTTAAAAAAAAACTTTCTTTTTTCTTTTCTGTGGTTTTTGCTGTTGTTGTTAGAGATGGGGAGGGGGGGCCTTCCTTTGTAGCCCAGGCTCACCCTAAATTCACCCTTACCTCAGCCTACCAAGTCCTAAGATTATAGGTCTGGGCTACCATGCCTATCTTAGAAACAACTGTCTTTATTTTCCAGTGAAGTGGTTTCATATAGAGACAGTCTGATATACTCAAGACTAAAGTTTTCTTTTCTTTGTACTTACGCCTCCCCGGCCTGGAGCTTTCTCCGTTTTATTACCCAGCACACCCAGCCAGCCGGTCTCCCATCCAAAAGTCTCCTTGGCCCCACAGTGCATCTAAGCAGTCCCTGAGTCCTGGGGAGTGTGTCTCTTTAGTTTCTCCCTTATTTCTATGCCCAGTTTAAGGTCCATCATTTCTTTCATTTCTTGGAAGTCAGAAGGCCTCTGACCTCATCTCCTTTAATCAGTTCATTCTCCATGTAGCAAGCAGGAGAATTTTCCAGGATACTAATATATTCTGACTAATATTCTCTTCTCCTTTATGTACACAGGCGACTTCCCTGCCAGACGGTCTGATCCCTGAATGATCATGTTTCCTCTCTCTGAATTACTCAGGGTTTTTTGTTCTTCCTCTTCCTTCTTAATTAGCTAGCTGACCTTCTCCTTTTTGGATCTAGCTTACGTACATCTTCTTGGAGGGCCATCCTCTGAGATTCCTTAGTTGGCATTTCTTCATTCTCTCGATACCCTAGTCAGGTTTCCAGGATCGAGCAGTGCAGAGTGTGACATTATCCCAGCACTCAGAAGGCTAAGGAAGGAAAATCTTGAGTTCAAGGCCAGGTTTGGCTTTATAACAAGACCCTGTTTCAAAAAACATAACAAAACCTCATCATGCAATGAGGTAGCAGTGGATTTGATTGCAAGTTAAACATCTGTTTCATTATCAACACAGCTGTGAAATGTTTATTCTTACAGTTTTTCCTATTCTGTAGATTGAAATTAAGGCCTTGTACATGCTGGGAAAATACTCGACCGCTGAGCTATATATATCCAGTCCTTAATTCTTATTTTTTTTCTAGGAGATGAAGAGATTATTCAGTGATTAAGAGCACTTGTTATTTTTGCAGAATACCTAGATCTAGTTTTCAGGAAGCCACCTACAAGGAAGGTGGCTTACAACCACTGTAATTCCAGTTCCAGGGGATCCGATACCTTCCTCTGTTCTTCCAGGGCACTGGGCATGTTCACATGTGGTATATATACATCCACTCAGACAAACATTCATACACATAAAAAATTAATTTTTTGAGACAAGGTCTCACTGTGTACCTTTGTCTGTCCTGGAACTCACTATGTAGACCAGCCTGGCCTTGAACTTACAGAGATCTACCTGCTTCTGCTTCTGTAGTTCTGGGATCAGGGCATGTGCCACCATGACCCACCAAAATAAAACTTAAAAAAATAATGTTTAATAAAAGCTGGACAGTGGTGGTACATGTCTTTAATCCTACCACTCTGAATTTAATCTCTGCATCTCTGAGTATGATGCCAGCCTGGTTTACAGTGTGAGTTCCAGGACAGCCAAAGCTATATAAAGAAACTCTGTCTCAAAAAAAACAACAACAGGGGCTGGAGAGATGGTTCAGTAGTTAAGGGCACTGACTGCTCTTCCAAAGGTCTTGAGTTAAATTTCCAGCAACACATCATGGCTCACAACCATCTATGAAGGGATCTGATGCCCTCTTCTGGCCTGCAGGTGTACTTGCAACAAAGCACTCATACATAATGTAAATAAATTTTTAAAAGAAAAGAAAAACAACAACAATAAAAAAAAAGTCTAACAGGCAGTTGTTAGCTACCTGATGTGAGTCCTGGGAGCCGAATGTGGGTCCTCTGGGAGGTCAGTATGAACGCTTAGCCATTTCTCTTAGTGTTTTTACTATTTTTTTTTTTTTGAAACAAGGTCTCACTAAATTGTTTAGCTTTAAACTCACTCTGTAGCCAAGCTAGCCATTAAATTTGTGAGCCTCCTTTCTTAACCTTTAGCTAGGGTTACAAACCTGTGCCTCCAGGCCCAGGCCCAGTCCCAGGAAGTTTTGTTTAGTCCCTATTTTCATCAGAGACCTGTGTCCACTGCTGTAATTGAAGACATACAACAAGTCCATTATAGCAGAATGCTAACACGGACATTTCTTTGTTGTTTGAGACATGAAGTCTATGCAACCGAGGATGGCCTGATCTTCCTGCTTTCAAATCTTGAGTTCAGAGATCACAGGCAGGTGTGCATACCCTGCAACCTGAAATTACTAATGGTGGAGGTCTGCTTATTCTTGCGCACGCGCGCACGCGCACCCCATATCATCTCCAGAGACAGAATATACATACACGGCATCTTGTTGCTGCAAGAAAATTACTCCAGCGCAGTAATTAATCCACATTGGAGTCTAGTTTTCCTTGGCTACTCTTTGGTACCAAGCTGTGGCAAGATTACCACAACTGGAAAGTAGATCACCCTCTACCTACTCCGAGTTGGTTTCACACAATGGACTGTTGTTTGCGAGCTCTTTCTCTGACGACATATACCTCCTGCAGCCATTGGTTAAAGCCAGCTTATGTGTTGTCTGTACAGGCCCAGAACAATCATCTATAACGGCACCTTGAAAACTCTTCCAGGTCAGCCAATGTGAAGATGCCGCCGAAAGTTAGGCCGGATTACAACAATCTCTTAAGGAGGTTTTACTCGTTTAGGGTTATATGCAAGCAGGAGTGAGAGCTACCTTTATTGTCTAGCCTCATTTTCTATTTGTTTGACAACAAGCACATTTTAGTTAAACACTTTTAAACCACTATAACCCCAGAGTACTGTGCTAAGTGTTTAGGGATGTCATTTTAACAACTGTGACAGACGGGACTACTTTAATCATTATTATCCATACTCATAAAGAAATCAAGACTTGTAAAACCTTGCAGGTGAAGGGGGGAGGGGTAGAGGAAGGAAGACCGGGACTTAAAAGTTCATACTCAGTTTACATATGGAGTTGGCGGCCAGACTGGTGTGAACCTGTCTCAAAGTAGCAATAAATAAATAAATAAATAAATAAATAAATAACCATAGCAGCAACAACCCAGCACATCCCGGAAAAAGCCAAATGCCTTACAGAGTTAGCTGGAGAACTGCCAGCGGTGATTGAGCCCCTCCTGTTCTCCAATTGTGGAAATAGAGTCTCCTAATTATGCCCAAATTAGGCTGCTCTGTGAACTTTGACCAAGAAGCTGTCCTTGGACGGAATATGGTAGTGTACTCCTGTAACACCTGCACTTTGGAGATAGAGGATCAGGAGTTGAAGGTCATTCTTGCATACACAAAGAATTCCAAGCTGACAAGGCCTTCAGATGCCATCTGAAAACAACAAACAAACAAACAAACAAAACAGCGATTGCTGCTTGCTGTGGTTGCTTGTGAAGCGAGGAGACAAGAAGATTGTTATCCGGTGTGGAGCGGGAGTACACCTGGGTGAGTGACCTATCCATCAGCACCTGTGCATTTGTTCTTTAGGACCTCCTCGCTGCTGAGCAGCGAGTTTTCAGGTCCTTGGTGACCCCGAGAGTCAACCCTCCCCCTCTAGTGGCTCTCAGTGTGGTGGCTGCTGGGGAATCTGGCGTCTGGGCTCGCACGTCCCGGTTGGGGCGGTCAGGCTGGATGTTGCCTGGGAAGCAGCTCCGGGTTGCAGGGCAGGAACGCGCCCTTCCCCCGTGCAAACTTTCTGTCGCTGCGACGGAAGCAGGAACTTAGTCACGACAAAATCTGCGGGACCTGTGCGGGAGCTGCGGAGCATCCCCTGTGATCCTCCCCAGAGCCTTGAGCTGCTTCTCCGGTTCTTTGCAAAAGCGACTTAAGTCCTCCGTGGGTCCAAGCGCCACGGGGGCTATAGGTGGTTCTCGCTTGCAGGTAATGGCATCTCTTTCCTCCCTGACCAGCCTCGGGTAGAGTCGACCCCTGCTGAGAACAACTGCGTTCCTTTCCCGGGCCCAGCTCCAGCAACTAACTACCCCGAAGCGACCCCAGGGACCAGACTAGGGTAAAGGGGGCTGGCCTGGATAGTCGTGTCGCCGCAGTATCCCAAAGCAGATGATCAGGCAGGCTTGAAAGCACCTGCTATAAATGGCACACGCTCCAGAGGGAGGCTAAAGCATTCAGGGAGCAGCATGCAGTTGCTCAAAGGAAGGGAAAAGTTCCCATGGTCTCTCCTATGCTTTGTCTGCCCTTTTCCTTATTCAACCTGCTGTGTGATACTCTGTAAAGGTAGGTGTGTGTGCGGGGTGTGGGGAGGACAGTTACTGACTTCTTGATAGGAAGCTGTAAATGATTCCCGACAACTGAAATAGTTACATACAAGTTAAGTTTGAGTGACTCAGTAAGCTCTCTTCCGTCTGTGTCTCCTGTCCCCCTTTTCAACGAGATTAAGTTGAGCTTTACACTTTAAGCCCCAAGTAATAATGGATTAGATAACTTCATAGGCTAACGGCTCTAGGACTGTGCTAATATGTAACTCTTAATCAGGGATCAAAAAAGCCGGAAGATGTAAGTAACCTAAGAGCTGTTGGATATCTTTGGTGAAACTATTTGTTAATGAATTGTTTCACTAGCTGTGTAGCCCTGGCTAGCCTGGAACTCGTTACATACATAGATTAGGCTGGGCTCAAACTCGCAAGATCTGCCTGCCTCTGCCTCTCAAGTGCTGGGACTAAAGGCGTGCGCCGCCACTGTCGGGCAATTTTGGCCTTTCAAGACAGGATTTCTCTGTGTAGTTCTGGCTGTCCTGGAATGAGCTCTGTAGACCAAGCTGGCCTTGAACTCACAGAAATCTGCCTGCCTCTGCCTCCCAAGTGCTGGGATTACTTTTCTTTTTCTTTTTTGTTTTTCGAGACAGGGTTTCTCTGTGTAGCCCTGGCTGTCCTGGAACTCACTCTGTAGACCAGGCTGGCCTCGAACTCAGAAATCCGCCTGTCTCTGCCTCCCAAGTGCTGGGATTAAATGTGTGCGCCACCACCGCCCGGCTGTTTTTGTTTTAAGATTTAAAAAAAAATACATGTATTTGTGTGTGCACATATGAATACATGTTTATATTCTGGTGTATCTATGTAGGTCCGAGGACAACTTGTGGGAATCAGTTCTCTACTTCCACCGTATAGTTCCCAGGGATCTAGCTCAAGTTAGGTATGCACTGAGCCATCTCAAAGAATGGCACTCTCTGCGCAGTGGTTGCTGTAAAGATGCTGAGAGCACAGCCCCTGCCCAGTCTCCTCACACAGTTCAGATTTCTGTGCAAGCGCCGAGGACAGACTGTATCAGACTCTCCGCCCTTTCCTTTCCCTTCTCGAGGCTCCATGGATAGAATTCAGGAAGTCTGTGAACTCAGGGGAAATTTATTACTTCCTTTTCCTCTAACTAAAAGCAGTGTTTCCGTCAAGAAGAATGTAGGCAAAGTCATAGTAGAGTTAGCAGCGACTGTGATTTGCCACCACTAGAATGCACAGATACTTCTCATAGGTGTTATTCATTACAAATCTCTCAAAAGATTATATTCAGCACTGCTTCAAAACTGCAGCGGTTGTGTGATATTCCACTCATTTTTATTATTAATAAAGAAACACACATATAGTACACAATTGTTTTATTGTTTTAACTGGAGGTGGGATTGGGTTCTCTCATTAGGATTCTCTCTCTCTCTCTCTCTCTCTCTCTCTCTCTCTCTCTCTCTCTCTCTCTGTGTGTGTGTGTGTGTGTGTGTGTGTGTGTGTGTGTTTGAGTAAAGGTCTCACTGCATTCCAGGCTGGCCTGAAGTTCACTAGTAGCTCAGGCTAACCTAAAGCCTAGGTTGGGCTATCCCTGATTTCTTGTAAAGATTTAAGGTCATGGTCTCTATAAAGTACATAGACTGGCATGTGAAAATAATACATCTTCCCATTTTATTGTACACAGAAGTTGTAATTACAAGGGAAGTATTAAACTTGTGTTCTATTTCCATAGACTGACTTTGTATGATAACTTCATTTACCAACTAAAGTTTATTATTCACACAGGATTCACTTGGCATGTTATATAGTTCAGGGGAGTCTTAGTAGATACCCATTACAGCATCTTACAGAATAATTTCACAGCTGAAAGAATCTTCTATATTCCACCTGTCTATCCCTCTTCCCAGATTGGTAAGCTCTGATATTTTTTTTAAGGTTTTAAAAATTCTTTTTTGGTTGGGCAGTGGTGGCGCACACCTTTAATCCCAACACTTGGGAGGCAGAGGCAGGTGGATTTCTGAGTTTGAGGCCAGCCTGGTCTACAGAGTGAGTTCCAGGACAGCCAGGGCTACACAGAGAAACCCTGTTTTAAAAAACAAAAAACAAAAACAAAATTCTTTGTTTGAAGTTTGGTAGTATATACCTTTAATTCCAGCACTTGGGAGGCAGAGGCAGGCAGATCTCGGTGAGTTTGGGGCCAGTCTGGTCTACCTTGTAAGTTCCAGGGCAGCCAGGGTTATGTAGAGAGACTCTGTCTCAAAAATAAAATAAAATAAAATAAAATAAAATAAAATAAAATAAAATAAAATAAAATAAAATAATCCTTATTTTATATTTATGGGTATTTTGCTTGCATGTATGTCTCTGTACCACCTGAATGCACTTCCTGAGGAGGCCAGAAGAGGGCATCAAGTCCCCTGGGATTGGAGTTGTAGTTCCTCATAAACTGCCTTTTGGGTGCTGGTACCTGTGTCCTCTGGAAGAGGAGCCAATGCTCTTGATATTAAAGCCGTTTCTCCAGCCCCAGGTCTGATATCTGATTTGTTTTTTTTCCAGAGTATCAGGAGATATTTAGAGTCAAACTCAGAGTCAAACCTATTCATACTAGCTTCTTTTACTTAGCAATATACTATTGAAGAGTTTCCTTATCTCTCTGTTGCTTAATAATTCCCTTTCCTTCCTTCCTTCCTTCCTTCCTTCCTTCCTTCCTTCCTTCCTTTTTTTTTTCTTTTTAAATTTTTTTTTTTTTACTTTTTCAAGACAGGGCTTCTCTGTGTAGTCCTGGCTGTCCTGGAACTTCCTCTAGACCAGGCTAGCCTCAAACTCAAATTGATCCACCTGCCTCTGGGATTAAAGATGTGTGCTACCACCAACCCACTTTCATTTCCTTTTCTTTCTGAACAACATTTAAATATATAATGTGCTTTATTTATTTGTTCACCTGTGGAATGGCATCTTGGTTGTTTCTAGTGCTGAGCAGTTTTGAAGAATGTTACTATAGACATTTCCACGCAGATTGTGTGTGTGTGTGTGTGTGTGTGTGTGTGTGTAGAAACAAGCTTTTCAAAGTTTTTAAGTGTGTGTTCGTGGGGATGGAGGTCATGAGCCTACAGTACCTGCAGAGGCCAGAAGAGATTGTCAGATCCTTTCGGAGCTGGAATTTGACAACTCAGCATCTGTTCCTAGTAGCTGAGCCATCCCTCCAGTCTCTCCAGGCTCCAGACACCATTTGTAATTCATTTGGGTAAATATGTGTAGGACGGTTTGCTGACGTCTATGACCTTTATGCTTTGTAAGGCACAGTCACACTTTGACCAGAGTGGCCATACCAGTTTTCATTCCAACCAGCAAGGAATGGGAGTTCCAGTTGGTCCACATCCTAGTTAGCGTTTGGCACTGCCTCTTTCTTAGATTTTTACTATTCTACTAGGTGTGTAGTGGTGTCTCAGTGCTGATTAAAATTACAGTTCCTATGATAATACAATGTTGAGCATTTTTAGTATGCTTGTCTTCATATGTATATACATATATACATGTGTATATATACATATATGTATGTATGCGTACATATATACATGTATACACACATATATATTACTGGTGACACAACTGCTTGAATCTTTTGCCCATTTTTTTAGGGTTTTTTTGGGGGAAGGCTGTTTCTGTTTTTTTTTTTCCCCCTAGGCTTTTTTAGTTTTTTGGACAGTGTCCCAGGATGCAGTCCCTGGGTGGCCTAGAACTCAGTATATAGGTTAGGCTGGTTTCACACTCAATAGATATCTGCCTGCCTCTGCCACCTGGTACTGAAATGAAGGGTATATACTACCATGCCTGGCTCCGTTTTTTAGTTTTTCTCTTACTGTTAAGAGTTCTTGCTACAGTTTGGATGGCAGGCCTTTACCAGGCAGCTGTTTTTACAAATGATTTTCTGTGGTTGGAGTGGTGGCTCAGCACTTGCCAGGCAAACATGAGAACTGGAACTTCGGTTCCCGGGGCTGATGAGAAAGAGCACTGACTGTTCTTCTAGAGGTCATGAGTTCAAATCCCAGCAACCACATGGTGGCTCACAACCATCTACAATGAGATCTGATACCCTCATATGGGTGTCTGAAGACAGCTACAGTGTACTTACATATAATAAATAAATAGATCTTTAAAAAAAAAAAAAAGGAACTTCGGTTCCCAACCCTCACAAACACTGGGAAGGCTGAGCAGCCTTTGAAAGGCACAGGCAGGATCCCTGGGGTAAGCCGGCTAGGAAGACTAGCTGTATCGGCGAGCTCTGGGTTCGATTAAAAGACCCTGCCTCAGGAAAAGATGAAAGAGCTACTAAGAAAGATTCTCAACATCAGTGCCCCACAGGCATGCGCACCCACACACCACACATAACACACACACACACACACACACACACACACACACGGGCGCGCGCGCGCACGCAAGCACACATGCACGCACACACGTGCAGAAAGAACAGTGGCTTTTATAGAGCAACAGTTTTTGTTTTTTTAATTGAATAGAACATCTGTAGCAGGAGACACAGCTCAGTGCGTAAGAGCGCTTGCTGTTCCTACAGAGGACCTGGGTTCGGTTCTAGCACCCACAAAGTGGGTTCACAACAACCCATAGCTCCAGTTTCAGGGAGAGCCAGTGCTTTCTTCTGACATCCGTGGACACCACATAGGCACATGGTTCACGTACATACATGCAGGCTAAACACTCGTACAGGTAAAATAAAAAAAAAAAGTGAAACAAAAGTCAGCTTGTCTAGGGATGGTGCTTTTGCCGCTGTGTCTATAAAACACATCATTTAACTAAAGAACGTGAAGACTTGTTTCCTGTCAATTCCTGGAATTGTATAAGTTTGTGTTTTACATTTAGGGCTGTGATCCACTTTGAGTTCATTGCGAGAAAGGTAAAAAGTTTGTGTCTCCATTTATTTTTTACATGTGGCTATCCCGTTGTTCTAGCACCATTTTAAAAAGATCTAGTTTATTTTTATTTATGTGTCTGTATGTAAATATGAACACGTGTGCAGAGGCTAGAAAGGGCCCCTAGAGCTGGACTTACAGGTGTCGGTGAGCCCCCTAAAGTGGGTGCTGGGAACCAAGTTCTACAAGAACAACAAATGCTGTTTAGCACTAAGCTGTCTAGCTAGCCCCCGGTGCTATATTTGAATTACCTTTGCACCTTTGCCAAAGACTAGCTGTCTGTGTTTGTGTGTGCCGGCTCCTAGGCTACCTCCCCTTTTGCTAACCTAGTCATCTCTTCTTTTGCCAGCACTGTTTTCAGATAACCATAACTTTCCGCCAAGCACTGAATGAGGGATTGTCGGTTTACTGATACTAGTCTTCTACTGTGCCGACTGACTCTACGACTGACTCTACAGGTCTCCTTGCATCTCCATCTAACTGTTAAAAGTATTTTGTTGTTATCCACAGAGCGGCTTACTTTCTCCCCATTGGATTCCACGTTAGAATCCAAACTTGGCAAGTGCCCTTACCTGCTGAGCCATCTCACACTGTAGCCCAGGTTGCCTGTAACTCACTATATAGCCCAGGCTGGCCTATAACTCACACTATATAGCCCAAGTGGACCTTGAACTCGTGATGATCCTCCTGCTTCAGTTTCCCAAGGATCATTGATGAAGTTTTTTTTTTTTCTTTCTTTGATTTCTCTCATTACAGCTTGTAGATACATTTACACACACACACAGACACACACACAGTCTTTACCTCCTAAGGACTAGAATTGTAGGTGTGTGCCAACAAGCTCTGTGTCATGCTGGGAACCGAACCCAGGGCCTTGTGGTTGTTGTCTGAGCAGTACCAACTGAGTTACATCCGAAGCTTCTAAAACCGATTCTGATAAAATAAGCGGCTTCCGGTGGACTTTAAAGTATGCTGTGTAGGTGTTGTAGCACTGTTTGCAGCCTCAGGCCATCTTGTGCATTTAGAGCATTTCTCTCAGGATAGGGCCTATGCTTCCTTAGATTACCACAGGAGATCATAGTCAAAGAACGGTTAAAGAAGCAGAAACTTGGAGATGGGTCAGTGGGTAAAAGCATTTGCTGCTCAAATTGAAGATCTGAGTTTGAATCCTCCACACCCATATAAAAAGCCAGGCATACCATAACCTGAGACATCAGTGTTGGGTGCAGGGGGAGAGCAGTGTCAGCAAGCCAGCCCAGCTCCAGGGAATAAGCTGGAGAATGCTAGATTAGGACACCCATATCCTCTCTGACCTCCGCGCACAGTAGGGTTATGCACACTGTGTTGGTTCCTTTTTGTTATTGGTGGTGTGGTGGAACACTACGATCAAAAGCAACGTACAGAAGGAAAAAGTTACTTTGGTTTATAATCCCCGAGGGAAAGTCTGTAATGGCCGGAAAGGCACGACACGGCTGCGGGACCAGGAAGCTGGTTGGTTACATCTTTATCTACACATAATGAATAAAGTGAAAATCGGGGAGGGGGCAGAAAAAGGTGGGGAGAAAGAGGAAGCAAGAAGTAGAACAAAGATGTAAATTGTCAAGGCCTGTCTCTAATGATGTACTTCCTCCAGCAAGGTTGTCTATCCTAATGTTCCAAAACCTCCCCCAAACTGTCGACCAAGGGTTCAAACAAATGAGCCTACGGTGGGGGGGACATTTCTTAATCAAATAACCACATCTGCTCACCTGCACATGCACATAACACACACACAGAGCCAGCTGTGGTGGCACGCTGCTTTAATTCTAGAACTTATCAGACCAGGGGCATGCTGATCTCTCTGAGTTCCAGGCCAACCTGGTCTTTATAGTAAGACCTTTGCTTCCAGATAAAGAGGAAGGAAGCAAGGAACATGGGAAAGAAGGCAGACAAGCAGGCAGGCAGGCAGGCAGCAGGCAGGCAGGCAGCAGCAATTCAGCATGAAGCCAGAAATATGTATTCTGGAAATATAAGTGTGGGTGAGGTATGGCTTTGGCAATTTAACACTGGTTTTTTCTTAAAGAACCAGGTACTCGACAAAGTCTGATTTTTCTAGAGTTGTATGTTTTTCTTGTTTGGTTACAAGCATGTATCACTCATGTAGCTAACTTTTGTGTTGAGGGGGTTATAAAAAAAAAAAAAAGATAATTACTCCTAAACTCGCCCTTATCAGAGCCAGAATGTTCCCCATGCTAACCGACGAGTTCCTAGAATTGAACCATTAGACTTGCGTCTCAATTGGTATTTACAGAGAAGCAATGTTCTGCAGGGCTAGTGTGAGGGTTCAAGAGGGGCCCGTGCGCGAGTTGCTTAGCACAGTCGATGCCAGCCTCTCCCAGATGGCTTTACATATTGATTACTATTACTGAGGAGGGCTGCATGCTGAGCTACCAGCCTTGCTTCAGCAACGGTGCCGACAGTTTTATGGCCTTTCTCCTCTTGGTTGGTAAGGGCAAAATGATGAAGGATTCCTGAACTCATAGACAAGGGATTTCCATTTACACTTTCTTCATAGGTATTTTATTTATTATTATTGTTTATTATTTGTTTTTAAAGCAATGTTTTGTTTCGTGTGTATGTATATGTGTGAGTATTGTGTCAGTACCTATGCAGAAGAAGGCATGGGGCCCTTACAGTTGCAGTTATAGACAGTTTGTGAGCCATAAAAAAAAGTATGCTAGAATCCAAACTTGGCAAGTGCTCTTTTTTTTTTTTTTTTTTTTTTTTTTTTTTTTTTTTTGGTTTTTTCGAGACAGGGTTTCTCTGTATAGCCCTGGCTGTCCTGGAACTCACTCTGTAGACCAGGCTGGCCTCGAACTCAGAAATCCGCCTGCCTCTGCCTCCCGAGTGCTGGGATTAAAGGCGTGCGCCACCACCGCCCGGCGGCAAGTGCTCTTATGTGCTGAGCCATCTCACACAGTCCAGGTTGGTCTGGAACTCACTATGTAGCCCAGGCTGACCTATAACTCATACATTGTGAAGCCCAGGTGGACCTTAAACTCATGGTGATCCTCCTGCTTCAGCTTCCCAAGGATCACTGATGAATTTTTCCCTTTCTTTCTTTCTTTCTTTCTTTCTTTCTTTCTTTCTTTCTTTTTTTTCTAGAGTAAAAGCAAACCGTACAATCTTCCTGAAGTAAACTGAGACCAGAAGGGCCATTCTTGACCAGAAAGGCCCATCCTTGGTCTTTGAAGAGAGACCAAGATGAAGCAACAGTTCAGAATGTTCTTCAAGGGAGAGAACTTGGCTTATACATTGGTGGTAATTTCCTTCCTGACATCAAGGCTGTCTGCTGATCAGAACTGTCTCACCAAGAGTCTAGAGGATGTTGTCATTGACATCCAGTCTTCGCTTTCGAAAGGCATCAGAGGCAATGAGCCCATATACACGGCAACTCAGGAAGACTGCATCGGTGCCTGCTGTTCAACACAAGACATAGCAGGTGGGTAGCTCAGTCTGCTGTGGCCTGTGTGTTTTGTGACAGTGGTGGTTGGATGGTGTGTCTGGTTAGTTTGCACCAGTGGTTCTCCGTAGAACAGAAAGACAAGTGAGGCAGTGGCTGGGGAAGGGTCCACAAGTACATCCCACCATCCCGTCCTAGAGCTGTATTAAAGTTGCTGGTAAGTGTGTCCGTATATCTCTTAGATAGGTTCAGGGATGAAACTCAGGTCACAGGCTTACACAGCCGCTCATTCACCAGATAAGCATTCTTACTGGTGAGAAGGAAACTCTAAAATCTGTGAACAGATTTGTAGCAACTCTGTAAGTACTTTCATTGTTAAATAAAGTAGGAAACCCTCCATTCTTGGCAATGAGGACAAATATCTGGTTTTCTGTGTTTCCAGAAAACATCCACACATCCAGCATTCAGTCCTGACAGATAATATTTCCGGCTTATATAAATTGGGGTTTTTTTTGGGGGGGGGGGTTGTTTGTTTGTTTTTTGAGACAGTGCTTCACTGTATAGACTAGACTGCCCTTGAACTTGTGATGATTCTCCTGCCTCTGCATCCTGAGTATTGAGATTACAGGATGTATAACTAACTGTGTTCTGCTTTTGTTTTGGGCGGGGTGTTATATAGCTCATGTTAGCCTCAAACTCACTATGTAGCCGTGGTTGCCCCTGAACTCCTGACCCTCATGCCTTGGCCTCTATTTGCTGAGATTACAGATGGGGCCACCTGCCCAGCTAGCTTTCTCCTCCCCACCACACCCTCCACCCCCACCCCACCCACCCCCACTTTTAGTTCTTTCTTACTCTTGTTCCCAGTCTAAGAGACAAATGTCACCCCCAGTCAGGACAGATCTTCCCCACTGAGTTAATCCTTCCTGGAAGGACACACCCAGGAGGGTGCTTCACTGACTCCTGTGTGCATCTCAAACTTATCAAGTTGACAGTGACATTAACCTCCAGCAATGCTGCTGCAGGTATCACCCTGTCAGAAAAGGAAGAGCAGGTTGCCTCCAGTGAACTGAATATGGTATTTTGACATAGAACCTCTTATAGTCAGACTGGCCTCAATCTCGGTAGTAGCCGAGGATGGCCTTGAACTCCTGCTTGTTCAGTCTTTACCTCCTGAGTCCTGAGGATTACAGGACTATACCACCACACCTAGCAAAAACATGTCTTTTGTTGCCGGTTTTTGTTTTTCAGATTTATTTTTATTTTATGTGTCTGGGTGGTTTGCCTGCATATATGTGTGCTTATCATATGTTTGCTTGGTACCTGAGGAGGCCAGAAGACAACGTCAGGTCCTCTAGTGCTGGAGTTACAGACAATTGGGAATATCATGTAGGTGCTACGATTCTAACCCCTAGCCCCTTAAAGGTAACTTAACAACTGGAAGATTTATCTCTGAAGAACTAAATGCTCTGCTAAAAATTGGTTTGTGGAGGTGAAGAGATGGCTCAGTGGCTAAGTACCCTGGCTGCTTTTCCAGAGGACCCAAGTTTCAATCCCAGCATGCACTTGATGCTCACAACCATCTGTAACACCCGTTCTAGACGATCTGGTGCCCTCTTCTGGCTTCTGCAAGTACTGCATGCACATGGTACACAGGATGCAGGCAAGACACCCATATGCATAAAACAGATAATAATACAATTTTAAGTTAGAAAAAAAAAAGGCTTTTTCAAGATTTTTAACTCAGGTTTCTAGAGCCAATCAAGTGTTACTAAACTCGGGGAAAGGCAATTATCTGAGAAGTCAGCAAAGAAGCAAAGTGAACAGAGGTACGTACTCTGCGGTAAATACAGAGTATTTACAACTCCTCCATCTTGCCCTAGTCTAGAAAGTTCCATTTCAAAATTGTGCTTACAAGTCTTTCATTGCAGGGGACAAGTCATGTAATTTGATGATCTTCGACACCCGGAAGACAGACAGACAGCCCAACTGCTACCTGTTTTTCTGTCCCAGTGAGGACGCCTGTCCGTTGAAGCCAGCCAAGGGCCTTGTGAGCCACAGGCTCATCAGAGGTATGAAAGGTGAGGCTCTCTTTCTTTTGTGACTAAATTATTTAGAGCTTTGGCTTCTGTGGAAGATTTCCTGTAAGAATCTAAGTACCAAAAAAGTTCATAAATATTTCATGATTTGAAATTCATTAAACTAAAATATAGTTTCCTATGATAGCATCTGGCAGTATTTTTTATTTTGTCTTTCCCTTCATATTATGAAAAGTGCAGAGCTCTGTAGTGGACGCCTTTCTTTTTAAAAAAGACAACATCTCCTAGGTAGCCCAGTTGCTTGTTAATATTCTTTTTGTTCCTTTATTCAGGAAATAAAAGAATGTTATTTAGCACTTGCTTCGCCTTAGCACACTTTTATGAAGTGCTGAACATAAAGACCACAGTTCTCATTTCTCAAGCTGACTTTAGGGGGTGTGCAGAGACCACAGCCATAACGCATGCTCATGAAGAGTGTGGAGAAGTCGGAAGTGATGTGCAGAGTTGAGATGACCCAACAGAACAATCACCAAGGGGACCCCCGAAATTAGGTGATCGGTGAAGGTGTAACCCCTAGAGATTGAGATCTGAAAAGTCAGGGGCCAGATAAGCAGATCTGAGGAGACAAGGAAGATCTTCCAGGACCATGATTCTTAGGCTGAATGGATTTGGAATGTTTGAAAAGCAAACATTCATTCCAAGCACCACCACCACCACCCCCCCGAGTCATAGTAAGCTACACAGAGTATGTGGTGTGAAGAGGTAGAGATCACTCGTGCATATGACTTCCAGAAGAGGTAGATTTTATTGTTTGTGGATAAGGGGAATGCTGAAGGAGTTTTTGGGTAGGCGTGTTCCATGGTATCTTTTTTAAAAAGTTCCTGTTGTTGTGTATGCGTGTGTGCACATGATCTGGCATGTGTGGAGGTCAGAGAGAGTCTTGTGGTCTTGCGTTCCTCCTTCCACCTTTGTGTGCCTTCTGGGTATCTTGCTCAGGTCTTGCATTGTCAGGCTTGTGCAGTGAGAGCCTCTACCCTCTAAGCCAGCTTGCTTGCCCAAATAATTTGTCTTGCTTTTGTTTTTTGTAAGACAGGCTCTCTTCCTGATAAAGTATTGGCTAGCCTGAAACTTGTTATGTAGTCTAGCCTGGTCTTGAACTCAGAGAGGTCTGCCTACCTCTGTCTCCAGAGTGCTGAGGCTAACACTGTGTGCTTCTGTGGTATCTTTAAGGAGACTTCTTAAAGTTCACTGGGGTCTCCTTTTGGAACCACCCTGAGGCCACAGGAATGGGAAGATGGAAAAACTGGTTGCTTGGGAAGTAAGATGTAGGCAGAAGATGGTCGGAGATTAAAGGAGATAGAAAGAGGTAAGGTTGTAAGGCTCGCTGGTGGCCAGGAAAATGGACACAAGGAGGCCAAGGTCTAGCTTTTGAACTGAACATCTAGATGGATGGGGTCACCATTTGTGAACTGGCTAATTTTGAGGAAAGCAGCATCAGAGTCAGGAAGTAGAATAGAATCAACAGTTCTCTCTTGCCTGTTAAATTGAGGTGCTTTGTGGAATGAACTATCTGGAGGACCTGGATGTGTGCTTTGTCTCCTGAGTGTGTGTGTTGGGGGGGGGGTTCCTGAATTTTGTTCCAGAACCAGGAAATTCAGTGTGCCAAACATTTCCTGAAAGTCGTGGAAAAGGCACAGATTGTTTGAATGGTCTGCTACGGTGATATAAATGATAATTGAAGATTAAGTCTCTTAATTTCCATAATACTTCTGTAGAGTTGCTATTTTTATGGTATATGAAAGAAGAAATACGAGATAAAGATGCTGGCCAGTCAGTGGAGACAAGAGGAAAGGAAAGTAGATCTATGTAGGATCGTTTTTAAGGATGAGTAAGAAGGTGGAGGAACTGGAATCAAGCTGTTCTGGTGATAGCCACCAGGGGGCGTCATGAGCACAGAGCAGATTGAAGGACGGTTCCTGGCACCAGATCCTGGACACATGCAAAGGACTGTTTATTCTTACAGGATGTATACAAGTTATGTTCTTAATTCTATTTATAAATCTATCGTGTTTATGGGTTGAGTTCTTCCATTGATCATAAATTATCCTGTCTGAACTGAACTGAAGTGTAAATATCTGTTTGGTGGTTTGTTTCTGAAGGAGCTTTTATTTCCTGTAACCAACTGACTAATATTTACAGACTGACACTTTGAAAGACGACAGTGGACTCTGCTCGGTCTATAAAAGCACTGCAGCTGAGCATTCATCTGTCTTTAATAGCTTTGCAATTTTTTACCAAGCTCTGTGAAAATGGGAGAATTCAGAAATCCAATAAATTGGAAATCTATTTGCTTAGCTGGTTTCCAAGAAATAGCCTCTGGTTTTTTTTTTTGTTTGTTTGTTTTTTGGGTTTTTTTTATTTTTTATTTTTTTGACTCATCGAAATCCCTTGAGAAATGAAACTCTAAAGAAGAGTTTAAGGCCCAGGGCTGTTTCCTAAGCCCCAGAGAGAAGCCCCGCCCAGTGCAAACAGCAGTGGGTGAGGTGAGAGGAGCAGGTGTGGAGGGTTCTGCTGGTTCTAGGCTCTTTGCCAACACTTGTATCTTATCAAGCCGGACTAGTGTTTGCTTTTCATTATAGCTGAGGTCACATGCTTGAGAAAGCAAACAGCTGTTTTGGTCATTCTTGTCAGTGGATATATCTAACTTACAGTATCAAATAGACCAGGTCAGTTAGCTGAAAGGTCTTGTTCTCTCCCTCTCTCTCTCTCTCTCTCTCTCTCTCTCTCTCTCCCCCTTCCCTTCCTCCCTTCCTCCTTCTCTCCCTCCCTCCCTCTTTCTTTCCTAGTTATTTTTTTATTTTAGAATATTATTTAAGTGTTTTATTATAATACTTTATTTAGTTTGTGGTGTATGTGCATGTGTGTGTGTTCACATGTGGTGTGTGTGTGTGTGTGTGTGTGTGTGTGTGTTGTACAGAGCTGTGTTCACCATAGTGATAGTGTAGAGGTCAGAGGACAACTTGTGGGAGTTGTTTCTCCCTGGGGCCTCATGTATACTATAAGCTACACTCCCAGCCCCGAGTCATCATTTTGAGTCATCATTTTTACTAAATACCTTATGATACAGATGGTGATGCTATGAATGAATGTGACATCACATGTAATATATATATATATATATATATATATATATATATATATATATATGGAAGAAATTGAGAGAGAGATCTGTCTGTGTTATTGGAGGAAAAAAGAAGCTCAAGTACCCAGATTTTTTTTTTTCTTGGTGGGGTGTGGGGGGAAGAAGTGAAGTAGTTTGAGACAGTCTATGTAACCCAGGCTGGCCTTGAACTCACTATGCTGCTGAGGGTGACTGTAAACTCTTGACCCTTCTACTTCCCAAGTGCTGGTATTATAGACATCACTACCAGCCAGCCCCTACTTCTATTTTAGAGTAGAGCACAGTAGCCTAGGGCATGTGTCGGGCAGCTTTTCTATCCAGTGTCAAACAGTAGTTAGGTTTTAGAGGCCCTGGGCTGAAGCACTCTGGCCATGGGCAGTTATATCTCTTCACCATTCGCCTTATCCTATAAAAGCTGCCGCGGTGGCTATGTAAATAAATGAACATGCTGGGCACCGGTAAAACTTGAAGAGCGGTAAAATTCAAATAGTGTATGATTTTCACATGTCCAAAGTTCTCTTGGTTATTTGCAGCCACTGAAACATGTAAACTTCATTCACAGCTTGCACAGCACACGGAGGTAGGTAGCAGGCTGGATTTGACCATTGATGTCATTCAACGCCGTCCTAGGTGAATTAAGTGACTCTTGGAGAGCTTCCTGTAGCCTGGTGAGGTGATACATGCCTATCATACCAGCAGGGTGGAGGTACTCGGGTCAGGAGCTCAAGGCAAGCCTTGACTACATATCAAATTTAAGAGTAGTCTGAGCTACCCGAGACTGTCTCAAACAAATGAAATAGGGCCAGCAAGATGGCTCAGTGGGTAAAGGCACCAATGGCCAGGCCTGATGACCTAAGTCTGAACCCCAGGGCCTCTTGTGGTACAGGGAAAGAGCAAGTTGTCTTCCGACCTCCACGCATACACGCTGGGTCCCTTCCTCCATCTCTCAATAAATAAATGTTTAAAATATAAAATAATAACAATACATAATAAAGGACCATAGAAAGGTATGAGGATTAGTGAGCACACCCATGCTGTCACACCTCTGCAGTTGCCCCTTGGATCGGCTAGGAGTCAGAAGAAACCAACATGGAGGGACATTAAGAAGAAAAAGGGGGAGGAAGATAACACCTCCTGTGTCTCCTGCAGTTCTTCTTTTTTTTTTTTTTTTTGGTTTGGTTATTCGAGACAGGGTTTCTCTGTGTAGTCTTGGCTGTCCTGGAACTCACTCTGTAGACCAGGCTAGCCTTGAACTCTCGAACTCAGAAATCCACCTGCCTCTGCCTCCCAAGTGCTGGGATTAAAGGCGTGCGCCACCACCGCCCGGCCTTTTTTTTTTTTTTTTTGACTCATTTTTTTTCTCTGTCCGGTTCTTCTTATATTTTGAGACAGGGTATTATGTACCCCCAGGGTGGCCTTGACCTCTCTGTGTAGCAGAGGATGGCTTTGAACATCTGATCCTCCCGTCTTCACCTCCTGGGGGCTGGGATTACAGGTGTGTTCCACCGTGCCCAGTTTATGTGATGCTGGGGGCTGAGTCCAGGGCTTCGTGTATATATGCCGAGCAAGTGTGCTACCAACCAAGCTACACTCCCAGCCCCGACCGGCTGTTCTAATATTATCAACACAGCCAAGTAGCGTAGTTAATACTGAGCAATTCAAATTATCTCTCGCTGCACTTGATTGCCTTAAGTAGCTTTTCCAGTTTGAACTGTGATAGACAGCTATGTGTGGCTCAGAGCAACCTCACCACCACCACCACCACCATTGTTCCCTGGGAGCTGGTCTGAATGGTCCTACCCCGCATACCCAGTGTGGGCTTTATGGTTTCAAACATCATTCCCATAACGTAAGGCATTTGCTCCACTAACTCCAAGCTTTGAAAGTCCAAGCAAGTCAAGTCTCTGGATAGCCTTCCTCTTCTGATAACACTCTGAACCCACCACCCCTGACTTTATTTGGAAAATGTGATTTGCCTTGTGCTATTTCTTCGGCTCAATGTTCTTCAACGAGTCCAGATCCTGAAGCCTCACTCCTCCCTGTTTCTGTCAAACCACCCTCACTGTTCAAGGCCCGTGACTCCTCATTTCCCCAAGGCCTCTCTCACTCGCTCTCTCCTCTCTCACTCTTTCTCACCTGTCCCAAGCCCAGGCTGGAACGTCTGTCTCCATGATTGCCTGTCACATTGGCAGTTGGGGGGAAGCTTGCCTCACACAGCAGTTTTCCTGCCAGTCCTCATCCTGCTCAGCTCATCCGGGACCTCCCTGCACTGCCTCAGCCATCGGCAATCTTTCTCTCCCTAGCCCTCCTGCCTTCTACAGGGTTCTTCTCCCAGCCTCTCTGCTGTTCCCACCTATTTCTTAGTCACCCTGGGCACCTCCAACCCCCACTGTCTCTTCTCTTCTTCCCACCAGGCTAGAAATAAACCACACCATGGAGTAAAGAGACACTGTTGTGATATTTAACGATGCTTACTTTGTCTTTGTTTTTTTTTTAATTTTATACATGCTTTTATGAAATATCCAGTGCCTGAAGCTGGGGTGTAGTTCACTTATATCATGCATGCATAATATATACAGGATAGCTCTGTTTTCATTTTCCAGCATGTATGTACAAGTGTACATACACACACATACACACACACACACAGAGGGAGAGGGAGAGGGAGAGGGACAGAGAGACAGAGACAGACAGAGAAGAGACAGAGATGGAGGGAGGAGAAGACAGAGAGAGAGAGAGAGAGAGAGAGAGAGAGAGAGAGAGAGAGAGAGAGTTGTCAGTCAGTCTGTCTTAGTTTGTTTTCTAGTTCTGTGATAAAACACTGACCAAAAGCAGTTTGGGGAGGGAAGGGCTTATTTGGCTTATGTAAATCACAGTCCATCATTGAGGGAAGAATCCAAAGCAGAAACCTGGAGACAGGAGCCGATGAAGACATCCTGGAGGAAAGCTGCTTGCTTTCCATGGCTGGTTCAGCCTGTTTTTTCATACAACCCAGGACGATCTGCCCAGTGGTAGCACCACCCACAGTGGGCCAAGTCTGCCCACATCAATCATTAACCAAGAAAATGCCATGAAAGACTTGTCTACAGGCCAATCTGATGGAGGTGTTTTCTCAGTGGAGGCTCCCCTTCCCAGATGACTCTGGTTTCTATAAACTGACAAAACAACAACTCACCAGCGTGTGCATCAGGAATCAAGTCTGGGGACATAGTAAACATTTGTATTTTACATATACCTACTGTGGACATTTTAACTCTTCTTTTGATTTTCTTTATACTTTCAGATTTTCCACTGACCAGAGATAATTCATCACTCCAAAAGTTAACGCAAGAAGACTCTCTCTCACTTGGCCATACCTCACCAGGAGTTGCCCCTGGGGTCCCTCCCCCAGCAGGTTACCCAAAGCCCACAGGCCTGTCTTGGAGAGACATATCTTCTCCGAAGTCCACAGCCTCCCCACATTTGCAGAAACACATCAAGGTTGATGAAGCAAGCACGCAGCTCCCTTTCTATGAAGGAAAAGGCCATTCCCAGAGTTTACAGCTTCCCTCGGAACTAAAAATGGCTCATCTGCTCCCTAAAACGGTGCCAACTCCATCTACTGCATCTTCCGCCGTAACTGTTCCTCCCCTCCGTAACATCTCTGCCACCTTGAAGCCTGCACTTCTGTTGGCCAGCATTTCAGTGACACCTAAGGCTTCATGGCAGAATGAAGCCACCACAGCTCCACTTGTAACCACTGTGACCTCGAAGCCCCCAGCAGCCCCCGTGTCTACACGTTTTACACCCATGAGTACACACCAGGGAGCGTTGACTACCATCTTTCTGGCACATACAGATTCAAAAGGCATCTTAGAAGTAGTGCCCTTTCCAGAAGGGTCTACGCTAACTTCAGACACAAAGCATGAGAAGAGCTCTGTGGTCGTTTCTTTGTCAACCTCAGAGTCTTCCATTACAAACAAGACTGCTTCCTGGGAGAACCCAAGGGGCAGTGTAGGTAGTGCATCACTGAAAAAGGGTCCAAAAAGCCAGCATGGCCTTTCATTTGAGAAGTGGCTTCTCATTGGGACCCTCCTCTTCGGTGTTTTGTTTCTGGTAATAGGCCTCGTCCTCTTGGGTAGGCTGCTGGTTGAATCCCTCCGTAGGAAACGGTATTCAAGACTTGACTACCTGATCAATGGAATCTACGTTGACATCTAAAGACAAATCAGGTGTCTCTTAGTTCATGTAAGAGCTCGTGGCCAGATGCGCCTGTGTTTCTTCTGCCCAACCTGTCTCAGCAGGAACTATATCTTGAAGAATAGCCGCCCCCCACCCTTCCTTCTTCTTTTCCTTTTTGAAACAGGCTCAGGTAGCCCAGACTGGTTTTGAACTCCTGATCTTCCTGCCTCTGCCTCCTGAGGCAGTTGCAGATTTCACTACCATGTCTGGATTTTTTTTTCCATATTAGGACATTTTGTTTTAATGGATCTGACATCTTAATCAATCTGAGGACTGTTCGAAAACAATTTTAATTGCTATTGATTACAGAGATAAAATGGTATATGTTTTAGTTAGGTTTTCTATTGCTGCAATAAAACACTATGATCAACAGAAAAGGCAGCTAGGAAATGCTCAGGAAGCACTGGCTGCCTGAGGCAACCAAGGGTCAGGCCTGTTGTAATCCGTCCTGTCCCAGATGGAGACTATGGTCCCTTGCAGGCTTCTGGACTGAAGTAGCACTGGCTGCTGGTGAGGGTGGACTCTGCCTCTTCCCAGGCTTCCTGGTTTGTCAAAGCTGCTTCTTTACTGGCCTGGGAGGAAAGTTCCACCACCTGGCTGACAAGTCTGCAAGCTCCAGGTCTTTCTCAGCGACCAAGCCCTTCAGTTCCTTCAGCCAACAATTCAGCTGTGCACTGGCTCCAGGCTGCTGTGTGCTGGCTCCTTGCACTTGTGCACTGGCTTCTGGGGAGTAGATGCTCATATCATCCAGGAGCTGCAGGGTGGTCCTCAGGACTGGCTGCAGATCATCTAGGAGCTTCTGCCCACTTCCTTCCATGTGGACAGCCTGTATGGGCAGCTCGTGTCGCGTGCTGTCCAGGGCTCTGCCCAGTGTCTTGTATTCCTCTTTGAAGTGCTCTAACACAGGCTGAAGAGGGCTCAGCGCCTCAATCTGGGCATCAAGGGCAGTGGCCAGCTCCTGCTGTTTCTGTCGGAGAAGCAGCTGTCGTCGCAGCTCCAGTGCCTGCCTCTGCAGCCTCTCCTTCTCATGGCACATGGCTGCCAAGTCCTTCTCCGCCTTCTCCTCCAGCACAGCCAGGTTGTCCATGTCTGGATTTTTAATTTAAAAAAAAAAAACTTTAAAATTTTTTTTTCCAATACTACAGGTCAGGGCCTTCTGCATGCTAGGCAAACCATCTCCTCCTGAGCCACGCCCTCAGGTCAACCACTTTCTGTTTGTCTGTTTGGCCTTTTTTTTTTTTTTTTTTTTTTTAAGAGGAAGAGAGAAGGGATAAAAGAAACTAAGTTACTGAGTGGCCTGTCTGTAGAATAGTAGCTGAAAATAATTCCTAACTAAAATATTAAGTATACTTGAACATAAACTAGAAATGTGTATCTGGCTTTAGAAGACAAATCATAGGTTTAGGACATCTGAGCTGTGATTCATTACTATCTCCCATTCTAGATAACGGCAACTGTTGGATACTAGTTTTAATGGATCCTCTTTTCGGAGTTTTTTTTTTATATGAATTCCAATAAAACTCGTTCCAGATGTATCTCCCTCCAATTAAATATTTGAATAAATCTCTTGTTCCTTGGTATTGTTCTGAGCGGCATGGCCAGCTGGATAGCTTTCAATTCCTTCCCACCAGCGAAATGAAGGAATGATGAAAGTTTGCACTCCCTGCTGAAAACCGACAACCTCTCTTCCCGTCGATGGCCAAAGAAGTTCCTCTGGGAGGATCTTAGCAGAGCATGAGTCTACCATGGAGACAACGATAAATTAGGGTTTTTTGTTGTTTGTTTAAGACAGCGTCTCATGTAGCCTAGATCGGCCTCAAACTCTCCATGGAGCCAAGGGTAATCTGGAATTCCTGATCTTCCCACCTCCACCGTCCAAGTTCTGGGATCACAAGTATGTACCCCATAACTGACTAGTTAATTAGTTCTAAACCCATCTGGGATTAGGCCTAACTTTTTTTAAAAAAAGTATTAACCTTTTCTAAAATTATACCAAGTCTAAAAATTACTGATATTATTTATGACTATCTAAACTTGAACAACTGTCAATTTCAGGTTTATTGGAGATAATATTAGAAGTAATATGTAGCAATACTATAGTATTATACCATACACTATATACCATATACCATATACCATATACTATATACCATATACTATATACCATATACTATATACCACATACTATATACCATATATCATATACTATATACCATATACTATATACCATATACTATATACCACATACTATATACCATATATCATATACTATATACCATATACTATATACCACATACTATATACCATATATCATATACTATATACCATATACTATATACCATATACTATATACCATATATCATATGCTATATACCATATACTATATACTATGTGCTATATACTATATGCTTATTCAGTGTGCTTATTGGCAAAACAAGAATAGTAGATTGGGGGCTGGTGAGATGGCTCCATGGTTAAGAGCACTGGCTGCGCTTTCAGAGGTCCTGAGTTCAGTTCCCAGCAACCACATGGTGGCTCACCACCATCTATAGGAGGATAGGATGCCCTCTAAAGGTAGGTGGATATATATGTAGCAGAGCACTCATACATTAAATAAATAAAAATTAATCCAGATATAAATAGGTTTGTACGCATTTGTGTTTGCACATGTGTGTAGGAGTCGGAGGTCAGAGTTGGGTGGTAGTCTAGTTTGACACTGTTCCTGTGGAAAAACATCATGACCAAAGCAACATAGGAAAGAGTTTATTTGGTTTACACTTCTGGGTCAAACATCACCAATGAGAGAAATGGGGCAGCAGCTAAAGCAGGAACTGAAGCAGAAACCATGAGGACCCCTGTTTATGGGCTTGCGCCTTTCTTATACAGCCCAGGCACATCTGTCTAGGGAGGTACTGTCCGAAGTGAACTGGACCCTCCTACATCTATCAGACACGTCCAGAGACCAACATGATGGAGGAGATTCTTCAACTGAGGGTTGGTCTTTTTAGGTGTGTCATGTTGACAATCAAGATACTGCCGGTCTTTATCATTCTATTTATTTAGGTTTATTTTTTTTGAGACAGGGTTTCTCTGTGTAGCCCTGGGTGTCCTGGAACTCACTCTGTAGACCAGGCTGGCCTCAAACTCAGAAATCCACCTGCCTCTGCCTCCCAAGTGCTGGGATTAAAGGCATGCGCCACAACCGCCCGTCTAAACATGGTTTTTAAAGGTAAAAATGGAGAGATGACTCCCTCTTCATAGCACTTGCTGCTCTTTCACAGGCCTGGGGTTCACTTGCCAGCACCACACAGCTACTCACAACCATCTGTAACTCCAGTTCCTGAGGATCGAACACCCATCCCCTTCTGGCCCCATGCAGGTACCTATATGAACATACGTATACATACAATCTGACACACACACACACTTGGACTTCACATGTAACCTAAGCAGCAAACACTAGAGGGCAGTAGCTGATTAACAAGGGTAGCCAGGAAGGCAGAAGAAAATGACCCAACGGCTCCTCCCGCTACCTCCTCACCTCCTCTTTCCTTACCTCCTCCTTCCCCTCCATTCTCCTAGTAACCACCCCTCCACCACTACGGTCAAGTAGAACGAATTTAAGAGAGAAGCTGGCCTATTGAAAGTCCTATTTTTTTCATGTATTTTCCAACTTAACAGCTTGAC